GAAAAAAAATTAACATTGGGTGAAAATTGGTCTAAAATTATGAGAGTAGAATGTGAGCTCAATGGAATCAAGAATGGCTAAGAAAAAAAATTAGAAAAATAAATGGAGAAGAACATAAAATTAAAAGAAAGGAAAATGAGAGAAAGAAATTTTCCCACTTTATCATCTTGCTTCTTTTCTTTTCCATGTAGCCACCTATATATAAAATAATAAAATCAATAGAAAATAAATTTTAGAGAAATAAAAATAATATTCAATAAAATATGGAAAAATATGCAATAAATCTAAAAAATTTCCTAAAAATATTTCTTCACCCCTTAATTACAATTATTAACCAATTAAACCAAACTACTCCAAAACAAGTGTTAAAATGCTAGGAAAAGTGAGGTAAAAAATATGTAAAATATGTGAATCATCATGAGATTTTTATCTTATTATTTCATGATTATTGTTTGACAAGTTCTGAGTCAGAAAAAGCATAAGGGAAAGAGCTAGGGAAGAACTAGCCCTCTGGCTATACTTTGTAAGGCCCAGTGTACTTTTGAGTCTGTGCACATATTTGTAAATAAATATAAGATATATTGAGTTGCTGACTAAGAATGTATAACATTTTTGAAAAGTGCACTTGTATGATATTACATGAGTGTTACATTTTAGCCTGAACTTGTATAGGTGGTGACATACATGTGACGAATTATGAGGTGATGGACTAAAATATTAATATAAATGTAAGAACATTGTAAAAATATGGTGATATGTGAAGTTACACTTATACAGTGTTAATTTAAAGTATTTTGGCCTAATGTGAATGTGTGTGGTTATTGTGAAATTAGGCTAAAACCATGATACAATTGTATATGGTGATATTTATGTATGATGCGTAGCAATGATTTCGCCACATAGTGAACATTTGAGACTTTGTGGTTATTAGCCTTGTGTATGAACTCAAGGATCTAAGTAGCCAAATTTTGTATTGAGTGTTATATACAATGTTATACGATGTTTGATTGTTCCACTAGATGTATAATGGTTTATTGGACTAGGTTCAAGCTCTAAGTTGGGCTAATGGTATAAGGTTTGTGATCTGAGTACTTGGATGCACCAAAATTGTTTTAAAATCTGACTTTTTATATTTGGATGTCCAAAATTCACATATGATCTCGGATTGTAACGAAACTCATACCATTAGCTAGATTATTAAATAAGTTTTATATGAGCGCTTGAATCACTCCAATAAACATTTAATGTGAAAAATGATGCATGTTCTAAGGTTGGTCTAGAAAATATATCATGACAGCTTTGGCATGTATTCACGATGCAAAGTTCACAAGCCACAACGCATGGTATAAAGGTGAGAATGCCTCTCTGTACCACATACCATGACATTTATACCAAAATATACAAAAGGGACATTTATGACCCTATTTTTCTATGGTTTTTTTCTTTATCATTCCCATGCTTCCTATAATGCTTAAAAATATTAAATTTGAGCTCAAACAATACTTTTAAAGGGTTTTATCCTAAATATTTTCAAAAGGATTTTCCAAATTATTTGTTTTAACCCTTCTATGACTGGAAGCTTGGGAGAACTTTAATTTTCTCTTAGTTACATTTCATGGTGATTTATTAGTAGTGATTATTAGTAATGTTGGGACGGACATTATATCTATGCATGATCCTTCCCTACCCTTGTTTGGTTGTGAAGATAATGACAAATATTCACCACCTTCTTGATTGTTATTGCTACCGTCCATCCCATTTTCTCCCTTCTTCACGAACTTCTTCTTCATATGCGTTTTCTAGTAATTCTTGATGTTGCCCGTTCTCTGTGGGTGGTTGCCTACCTACACTCATTATTTCATGTGACTTATAAATCAACAAGCTTGATTTTTGGATTCTTCAATGTATTAGACAGAATTTATTTCAAAAAAGAGCTTGAAGGTGGATGATCATCTTCTCTTCATGCTTGGTGAAGTTGTTGTGTTTAATACCAAGATGAAGATAGTTGGTCCATCAGAGCTAGCAGCTTTTGTTGCATCTCATGAGACCCATGAGAAGAGAAGTTAAGAAATAAATGCGAAGCAGGAAAGGAAGAGAGAATAAGTACTAGGTAGAGAGATAGGAGTTAAGAGTTACTAGTATTGATGGGAACTGATCCCCAGTTGCCACTTGCCAGGGCTATGTTTTGAGGGGGCATAGATTCTCTTCTAGTAAGAGAATCTTGCTCTCACAAGGGCAGTGTCAAGGTTTAAAAAAACACAAAGAAAGAAAGAAAAGAAAATCTACCCTACCCTGAGAGAAGGACAAAGACAAGGACTAGCCCCCTCATGTCTTGTTTTTAGTTTGTGTGTGAGAGAGAAAAAGAGAGAAAATGGAAACAGGGGAGAGAGTAGAGATGGGAGATGAGATTAGAGAGAAGAGGTTAGGTGTAAAAAATAATAAAAAAGGGAGAATCACATTTAATAAAAAAACATTGACTTATTTTTTATTTTCTTAAAATAGAACTTATTATTAGTTATTGTTTGTAATTAATTAATTTGAATGGTTCTTAAATGTAATTATATCAATATATATATATATATATATATATAAAGATAAGAGAGTGGGTCCTTCTTTCCAAATTAGCTTTTTCTTGTGTTAATAGGTTTCATCCTGTCCTCTTCCCTTCCCATGAGTTAATTATTGTTTTGATGCAAGACACAAGAACCTTTGTTTAGTTTCCTTTTCTTTGTATATCAAAAAAGAAGAGAGTGGATCCAACAATTATACTTTATTATAAAAAATTAATTATGGGACCCATATAAATAGACTTAAAGAAGTTTGGCTTAGGTGCTCATCACTTAATGGGCATATGAATCATTTAGATTTTTAATTTGGATAATTCAAATTTTAAGGTTTTATTTTTCTATTTTTATTTTATAATTATTATCAAAATTATAAAAATTTAATAATTATAAAATTTTTAGAGTATATCTGAATATTTAATTTATAAAAACTAAAAAAATTAATATTAAATTGGATTATCTATATTAAATTTGCATTGTTCAAATTAATGATAGAGTAGATAAATTACTTATAATTTTTACTTTAACAAATATAAAATAAAATATAAAAATAAAACCTATAAATTTGGATAGTCCACACCGCTTATCAGGTGATCATAATATGAGCATTGAAACTGGAAACATTCAAGGATAAAAATGATTTATAATTGAATTTAGGATACCCACAGACTCTAAGGAAAAAATTCAAAGGCAAAAGTAACCCTTAACCCATTTTTATATAGGAGAAGGATAGAAAGGTCCCAAGGGGACCAATTAATTTAAATTAAGCCCTAATTACAAAACTCTAAGAATTTGTAAGCTTGGCTTTCAATTTTACAACTTTGTTATAATGAATTTGCAACTTGCATTTCAAATTTTAACAAGAAAAATAAATTTATTTATTCTTTAACCATATTAAAATTTAAAAAATAAGTTACAAATTTACTATAACAAAATTGTAAAATTAAAATCAAACTTGTAAATCCCTAGAATTGAGCCCATAGGACTTAATTTAAATTAATTAATCTCCTTAAAACATATTTGTCATTCTCCCTTTATATATATAGCACCTATTGTTTGCCACTACATATTGCAGTAGAACATAAAGAATGCCAAAACTCCACTTATGATGGGTTTATATTAAAGATAATTTGAATTTGAATTTAAACCAATCTCTTATTTGGATGTATAAACATTTATGATTTTAGATTGGATTCAAATCCAAAGTCATTTTCTATTACAATTATTTTATAATTTTAAATTATCTTCACACCTTAGTCATTTGAAATCCAGTCATTTCAAATGTATTATTTTCTTTAGGTTTTTACCGTTGATACCTCTTAGTGTCTTTTCTCATTTTTTTTATCTATTAAAAAATAGAGATAAATTTATTGTTCTCAAATTTTTATTTTCATTTCAAATCTCATTTTATGAGATGAGATATGGTCCGATTTTAAATGCATAGATTTCAAATGTAAGATTTAAAATGTGAACTTTTAAATTTTAAATCTAAATTTAAATTCATCAATTTAAATGTTACCTTAAATTATATTTATTACTAATTATCAAATACATGAGATGGGATATGATTTGAGAGAATGTTAAATATTAAAAAAATAATAATAAAATCTCATGGAACTATATAAATGACAATATCATATCTCAAAATGTTATAATTCTATTAAAATTTTTAGGGACTTTTATGTCAATAAATTTTAAATTAAAAATATCATTTTATCTTTATTGACAAGTGATTTTCCATTCAATTCTTGTGATTATTTGAATAAAAGTTATTATTCCTTAAACAAAAGTTATAAATGTGGTTTGTTATTTTGAAAACTTTTTTTTCAATAATTGAAATTTCATTTGATAAATTATGATTTCTTGATCAATTCTTGTAATTCACAAAATAAAAGTTGTTATTTCTTGAGCAAAAATTATGATTGGAATTTTTTTTCAATAATAAAAATTACACTTAACAAATTATGATTTCTTATTCAACTCTTATGATTCACATAATAAAAGTTATTATTCCTTAAACAAAAATTATAATTAAGGCTTATTATCTTCAATATGGGTAAAATAATTTTTTCACTTTAAAATTTATTGACATAGAAGTTCCTATAAATTTTAATAAAATTATAACATTTCAAGAGACTAACTTATCAATTATATAATTCAAAGAGAACTTATTATCTTTATTCCTTAAATATTTGACTTGGACAATGTAGTAGTTTTAAATTTATATGTTAATATTTAATCTTCCTAACTAATTATTGTTTTTAAAATCCTCACCAATATATATAATGTTCTTCAACTCCTTGACTGTAACTTTTCCTATTAAATAATTACAAGATTACATCATGCAGCTAGGGAATGGGAGTGATTGGCCCCTATTTGTCACCTTATAAAATAAAATAACAAACGACTCAGGAAACGATCATATTTTTTTTTTTCCATTGTACGCTGAGAGGGATGGATTAGTGAAGGTGGATGCGGTGGATTCTCTAAAAGAGATCGCAGAAAGAGTGAACTGCCTTGGGGAGGCTGTACCTGAATTCTATTCTGAGCTGAGTTGAGAGCTTTACATAAGTTGAAATCTCCCTTGTTTTCTCAGACAAGCAAGCACGACGCAGTCACGCCATGTCTTCTGATTTGGGTATAATTTCAAACTCTTTCAATACCTTCGTTCGTTTCAGAATCTTTTAGTCTAAATCATTCAAATCGTATGGATTTTGATTCCACAGATGAGTTCCGGGAGCATCTGCTAGTGATAGATGTGGATGCTCAGACTCAGATTGACAAGCCTTCCAAATTTCAGATTCGAAATCTTATCAAAGTCTCCGATGCCGGAGTTCCAATTCTCAGGGGCATTGACTTGGACGTTCCCAACGGCGTGATCCTCGGTGTCGTCGGACCTAGCGGTAGCGGCAAATCGACGCTTCTCAGGGCCTTGAACCGCCTCTGGGAGCCTCCCTCCGGCACCGTCTTTCTCGATCATTCCGATATCTGCGATCTCGATGTTCTCTCCCTCCGCCGTAAGGTCGGCATGCTCTTCCAGCTCCCTGCCCTCTTCGAAGGTGCCTGTTCCTCCATTTGACTTGCGTAACAATTTATTTTAAAAATTAATAATTAAAAAATATAATAATTTTAAAACATTTTCAACGTTCACGTAAACTCAAATATTCGTTACCGTCGCGTAAATTATGTGAGTGTACTTAAGATACACATTGATTTTCTATATCATTTAAACAGTTGAATTTCATATATTTTAAATTTATATTTTACTTAAAATTAATAAATAAATAAATTTATCTGAACTATATAATACAGATACTCAGTGTCTCTACTTATCGTATTCAAGTTCAAATAATTATACCAGGCATAAAAGTTAAACGGTAAACTTATGCGCTGTATTAAGTGTTTAACCGGAACAAAAATGAATTCGCTGTATTTTTACCCCCTGTAACGGATGATCTACTTTTCTTTTTCTTTTTTTTTTTTTTACGTATTACTTCTTTTATAACGAAAAGAGAAAAAAAAAAAACCCCCAAAATTACATGTACATACATACAGTCACATGCAGAATGTCCTCAACATCCAAATTAAACCAAAATAATTTAAATCGTAAATATAAAACTTAAAAGATATTAAAAACCATATTATTCACAACTTTTTATAAATGCGGTTTTTCTTGAGTTTAAGGGGTGTTATTACTAGTTTTTTTTTAAAAAAAAAATTCCACCCATTTGATTAATTAATTTCTTTCTACGCAGCTTTTTTCATTTTTTTTTTAAATTTTAAACGCATTCTCACAAGGTTTCAATGCTTAAAAAATAAATTTTTTTTTCATCCCCAAAAAGTAACTTATTAATTATCCGGTACATCACATAAAAGAAGATGAAGAAGATATTTAGGGCTCTTTTGTTTTTTTTTTTAAGATTTTCTTTTTTTTTTTCTTTTTAGGGCACGTTTGTTTTTTTGTTTTTAAGAATTTTGTTGTTTTTAAAAATAAAAAAATTAAAAACTTATTTGGCTAAGTAATTTTAATTTAGTTGTTTCCAAAAATACTTTTATTTTTAATTTTTTAAAATAGAAACAACTTTAAATTGTTTTCATTTCATTTTTTTATTTTTAAAATACACTATTTAATTATTAAAAATTACAGTTGTTTTAATTAATTTTTATTATAAATCACAATTATTAACCATCTATTTTTATCATAAATTGACTTCCTTTCAGTGAAAATGGAAACAAAAAAGAAGAGAAACAAAAAACCTGTCCCCCAAATCATATAAAGATTATTATGAAGCATATGTTGTTGGATTAATGAGAGATATCATATCAATATCATCCAATTGCAGGCACGGTGGCAGACAATGTGAGGTATGGACCACAACTCAGAGGAAAAAAGCTCACTGATGATGAGGTGCGCAAGTTGCTGACAATAGCAGATCTTGATGCTTCTTTCATGAACAAGAAGGGTTCTGAACTTTCTGTTGGCCAAGCTCAAAGAGTAGCACTTGCCAGGACCTTAGCTAACTCCCCTGAGGTAATAAATGATTTTTGTATTTTCTGAGGCATGTCATTGGGTAAACTGTAAATGAATAGATAATATATATATATATATATATATAAATAATAGGTGAGCCCCATTTTAATTAGGATTAAAGTATATTTTTATTCTGAATTTTTTCTCAAAGAGCAATTTTATTCTTGTATTGATAAGTGGAACAATTTTATTCCTAAATTATTTTTTTGAAAAGCATTAGATATTTTATAGAAGGGTTTTTTTACTACTCAAAAAAATAGTTCTGAAATAAAATTGCCTCACTTATAAATATAAGGATAAAATTGTTTCTTAAAAAAAGTTTAAAAGTAAAAATGCATCTAGGTGCTAGTAGAAGAATTCATGATGTTTAGAAATGGGAATAGTATTCTTTTTCCTATTTTTCTGAAGTTCAACTAAGCATCCGTTTAGTTATTAAAAAAAGAAAATAAAATGAATTGAAAAAATAAAAATAAAAATAAAAATGATCAAAATGTAAATGAGAGATAAGCGAATCATGTTCATAAAGGGAAAGAGTTATTTAATTCATGAAATTCATAAAGAATATGATGATTCTTAAATTCATGGTATACTAGGCATTATTATATTTGCTATTGTGAGAGGTATCGTGATTTAGTTTATTGTTATTTTTATTTTTTTAATTTATTCTATTATTATTATTTCTCGCAGCCAAATTGGCTCTAAATTGTAATTTGATCACAATTACGTTTTGGACCAAAATCAATACAATACCAAAACACGGAAACCAACTCCTGAAAATGATTGAGAAATGACACTGTTTATTTACGGGAGGCTTAACTTTGAAGTACATTATATCATCTTAAAAAGGTTTTACTACTGGATGAGCCAACCAGTGCGCTAGATCCAATATCAACTGAGAACATAGAGGATGCTCTAATGAAGCTGAACAAGAACAGTGGTATGACAGTGATAATAGTCTCTCACAGCATCAAACAGATACAGAGGATAGCTGACCTGGTGTGCCTGCTTGTTGATGGTCAAATTGTTGAAGTTCTGAAGCCTCATCAACTGTCCCAAGCCAAGCATCCCATGGCCCAAAAATTTCTTCAGCTAAGTTCCTAGGTGCCCCATGTAACTCTCCTATTTGCTATTGCAAGTTGCAACCCATTTTAGGAGCCGACATGATTTAATGCTTTTGTCATGCATGTTGAGCTACTCTAAATTGCATACTTGGGATCATTGTGATGAGAAGTACATGCAAACTTAATCTTTTTTAGTTTTCTTAATTTTTAATTTCAACCATATTCTAAGTTATGATTTATGCATTACTTAATAAAAAGTAGGGGATGTGTAAAAATATTATAAATAAGAATGTACATTAGAGTTAAAGGGAAAAACTGAGAATTTTTTACAAACACTATTAGAGTTCAAATATACATATTCTTCAACGGTTGAATGGATTTTGATTTAGATACAACCAGCGATGCCGGGGATGAGTTTGGTGACAAGAATAACCTCTAATCAAAGCTTCTCATCTAAGGCTTCAATTCTTGCATTCTAGCCTCTAATCCACAGACATTCAAGCTTGAAGCTCGTCGTTCTCGCTCTCCTGCTGAAGCCTAAAGCTCGCTGTTCTGAGGTTGTGCTCTTTCACAACACTAATAGAGCTTAAATATACAATTTCCTCAATAGGGAATAAGGACAACATATACTTTTTTACTTCTTCAATCACAACTAACATATAAGCTACTATAACTCTATCCATAAAATATGAAGAATTATATAAATTGTTAAGCTTGTATACTTATTTACTTCATGTGTATGAGAATATTAGTCTTTTTGAAGAATGATAAACAATTATTCCAAAATATCAACTGTAGAATGAATATTGCAGTAATTAACAAAGGGTTAAGGTGCAAAAATGTCTATCAAGTGGTCGATCAAAAGCATCTAGTAGCTTAAAATGTAAAAAAGGAAAAAAAATACTCATAACATTATTAAAGTTAGTGCAAAAGTGATCAAACTGTTAACTTTGCCCTAATGTTATTAGTTTTTGATATTAAATACTGACTGTACTTACCACGTGTCAATTTGCTAACATAGACTGAAAAAAGGGCAAAAATACCTATGAAATCATCAATCAGAAGCATTTAGTAGCTTAAAGTGAGAAAAAAAAGAAAAAGTACCTATTACATTACCAAAGTTGATGCGCAAGTGATCAATCTATTAAATTTTTTAAATATTAATCATTTAGCTGAGATCGAATTAAAAGTTGACTATTCTTTGTTGATGTGCATAAAAAAATATTTTCAAGTAAAATTCTGTGGACATTGATTGGTCATCATGTGAATATCATGTAAAAAATGTCATTTTGACCGAACATTAAGTTAAATCACTTACTTTGTAGTAGTGGCAAAAATCATTTGAGAATTTTAAACCTATCATAAATAAAATTGCTTGAGATTGTGACAATGTTCTTAAAGTAAGCGACGAAAGAGATGTACTTAGTTTTAATTTTTGATTGTGCACAACCTATTTCATTGTGTTGAAAATCAGGTTTTGTAGACAAGAAAAATGAGTGGGAAGGGAGGGAGGGGGTGGGATACGTTAGCAAAAAAAATAATTTGATGGGATACTTCATCAATCAACCTCCGTAGAAATTAATCTGGGAATATATTTTGTTTACACCAATGGAAAAAAATAGTCAATTTCTACTTAAATGTCAACTAAACAGTTAAAATTTAAGCGATTTGATGGATTGATCACTTTTGCACCAACTTTAATAATGATATGGATTTTTTTTTCTTTTTTTCATTTAGGCTATTAGATGCTCTTGACTGACAACTTCATATGTATTTTTGTCCCTTTTTTACTCGACATAAGCAAAGACTAACATGTGATAATCATAGTCAGCATTTAACACCGAAAACTAATAGTGTTAAGGTAAAGTTAACGGTTGGATTACTTATACACCAATTCTGATAACATTATTGGTATTTTTGCTATATTCTCACTTTAGGCTAGTGAATGTTCTTGACCGACTATTTGATAGGTATTTTTGCACCTTAACCCATTAATATATATCTGCACATAATCCTTATATATATATATATATATATATATACATACACACTATACACACACTCACAAGTAACTATATATACATGAGAATTCTCGTGCATCTGGCATTATCATTGGCATGAAGGAAATCAATGATGCTTCTCTTGTACAACTCATTGGAGACATAACGGTGGAGATCATGACTAAGGTTGCAGGGGATAATTTGGTGTCATATACGTTCTTCAAGAACATCTATCGAGAGCTAAGACGCTTGGGTGTCAACAACTTTTTTAGAAGTGGACCCATTCCCTTGGTTTAAAACATCGTTGCAACATCATTTTATATGCAGATGCTATCTCAGTGATAATCCTAATAGTTTATTTTGGCAAAGAATTATATAGGCCATGTGAAAGGGTGAGACTCATCATTGTTCGGTCTAGTCCTTCTTAAACTTACATCAAAAAGAGGACATGAATATGCAAAAATATACCTGCTCTGTGTTGATCTTAGCAAACAGAGAACGCTTTTTTAGACACATACAAGATGGAACAATATAGAAGAATACTAACACAAATTTTAGCCAAAAAAGCTTAGTGGACGTCAGAGAGGAGATAAAGCAACTTTTTCATAACCTCGTATGGGGCGTAATGAGTGCACTTTGATCACCCAAGGAAAAGATGAGGGAGAATGACAAAGAGTTTTCAACAAAATCAATTAATTTAAATTAGGTCTCAAGTGTCAAATTTTAAAAATTTATAATTTAATTTTGTAATTTTACAATTATATTGTGATGAATTTGTAACTTATTTTTAAAATTTTAACATATTTAAAGAATAAAAAAATTATTTTTCTTATTAAGATTTGAAATATAAATTACAAATTCATTACAATGAAATTATAAATTGAGAGATTGAATTGCAAATTTTTAAAATTTGACGCCTGAGATCTAATTTAAATTAATTAATCTTTATGAGGCCTCTTTATCATTCTCCCAAAAGAATATGCAAGTCAAATGAATGTACAAAATTTTGTGAGAATTGCACATTAGATACAAAGCACAAATAGTTTTATATCACATTAGGTATTGAAAAGAATGTGTGATATTGTACTTTTAATTCCTTTAAGTCAATAAACAGGTGGACCTATCAAAATGCTAGATAAATACGATCATTAGTTCATACTTTTTCGCAAGAGTAATCAAAGTTAACATACAAATATATCATACTCTACTCAACCAACATACTCATACCACTTGATTGCTTATTTGTTATTTGCCACAATGGCTAAACATGCAATCCTAATTATCATTTTTATTTTTTGCCTATGTATCGTGATTAGCATAACACATACAATTCGCTTTTTTATTATTAATTACATTATGTGAACAATCCAAAATGGCTGAATATGTTGACTAATATTATTAACTAATCCTACTTACATTATAGTATTTCAAAAGTTTCAAATACTTTTGGAAGGTATGATTAATTTTGGAAAATCATTTTTTCCAAATATACATCACTTTGATAATTTTTTTGCACCTTTAATTGGCTGATATTTTTTACTTGTTTAACCTATGTCGGTTATATATGTGATTTTTATCACCCAATATTTACTAACTAAAACTATCAGTTAACAAAAATCATCATTAAATTAATGGATACTATTATTTCATCAAGAAATATAAAGAACATTATTTAATAAAAAATATAAACGATATTATATAAATTGTATATAATCTGCATGGAATGAAAGAATAGGAAACTAGCAATTACGATTTATTTATAATGCCCTTCCCTTTACGTGATTTGAAATTAAGAAAAAAAAAACATAGAGAGAGAGAGAGATATTCAAAGATAGAGGACACATTCTTAGGATAATGATGTTTCACTTCTATTTTTGAAATCCGCTCAAATGATATAATTTTTTAAAATAGGATATTTCATTTTCATGAAAAATACCATTGCCAACCAAGTGCATGGAAGAAATGTAGGGAGAATTTTAACCAAGGATAAAAGATATACTATCATTATTAGTGGGTCCAAAAAACATGACCCTTAAGTTTAGTCTAGTAAAATTGAAGTAAAAATAACTTTAAGGATAAAAAAAATTAAAATATCATTCACTTGTTAATTTTGTCTTAAATGTTGAATCATTAATTATTAATTTTCTTACTTCACTAATTAATTTATTAATATAAGTTATAAATTACATAATTTGACTTATCGATAATTATATAAAATTTAAACATCAGTTATTTAATCACAAACAGTAACATTAATTGTTAATTTGATAACCTTATTTATTAATTTACTAATATTAGTTGTAAATATTCAACAAGCATGCAAGAAGCCACTTAGATGCTTTAACATCAACTGTCACTCATTATTTATCTATATATATGATGATGGAGTGAATAATTAATTAATATCTAATAGATAAGAAATATACAAATAGTGATTAGATTACTTTGTATGCTAACTTTTCATTATAGCTAAATGAAACCAGAACAAGTGCTCTATCCACTTTTGATGCCCTGTGTTAAGATGTTCTTAACTAAAGACCAATGGATTTCCAAGCAAACGCCTTATGAATATGTAAACATTGTGGGTCATATGTGTCATTTATTAGCATTGATATTTGTTAATTAAACGTCGAAGGGTGATGATGATGAGATATTAATTATGGCTCTTATCTCTATCAATTTTCCTAGCTCACCTCTGCCTTTCTAGAAGCTTTTGATTTCATAATCTTTTCTCAGGCCATGCATTTGGGTCTTTAGGTGTTTGTGCACGCCTGTTTGGTTATTTTTCTAAAAATTTGAAAAGGCACCCTAATTTCTATTGATTAAAAAACTGAATTAAATTGGATAGTTGAACCACTCGGATCGTCAACTGAAATTGTTAATGGCTCGGTTGGGACCAAAAAACCATGTTCATGATTGAATCAAATTAAATCAGAGTGGAGTCATTATTGAGTTGAAAATCAGAATTGATCTGGAAACTAGAGCAATTTTCAAAACATTGATGGTTTCAAACATAATATTAAAAAAAAAACTCAAGTTTTTTTACAAAAATCAAAAATTAGTTCATGTTAAAAGCCAACTTTATTTTTAGACAATTTACATGTGTAAAATATGACTTGAGATCATATTATATAAAGATGTTGATAATTATAAATGCAAATATAGATATTTTTAAGTTTACTTATATCTAATTTAATCAAGATCTACCTATATTTGATGAGATATAAATTATAATTTATAGTATCATTAATTTACGTCATTTTATTAACATATTATAGATTTTTTTTCTTATATTTGTTTTGTATATACATTTAATATTATGTTTATTTAATTATTATATCATCAGCTTAACTAATAATCCAACTTGATTCGACCATGGGAATTGTAAACCCTTAGACTTTTTGGTTAAATATCTGGTTTAGTTTTGAAAATATTGTTAATTTCTAAACTATATATATTAAAAATTTTTTGTTAAATCATGGCCATTTTATTAGGTGAATCACGCTTCTCTGCATTTGTCTACCTGGAATATCTGTACATTCATGTTTATATACGTTCAGATTCGGACGGACTAGTACAAGGTCAAGTTTGCACATGTCTACAAATACATAATAAATGTATATATTTAATTAGTATCCATATTTTTTCTTTTTCCTCAATAATAAAAAACCCACAACCCCGCCTGTTTTTTTAATGCTCTCAATTTGGTGTGAAGAAATAAGAAATGGATATGCAATTGTTAATATATTATTAATTTTTAATGCTAGAAGGTCATCGACAATTTCA